TTCACCCTTTACCTTTTTAAATACCTAAAGTACATGTCAATCGAACAACTAGATAGAGGTACTACGTCGCCTCATGCCATCTACGTTTCCACTATTATGCATAGTAGAGGACGCTTGTGGCGCAATGTTTACAGTTTCCAAAACACATCGTGTCCTTTCTCTGGTTCGATCGCGCGTTCCATGCTCACCAAGTTCCATGCTCCCATACTTCCAGAGTAGGCAAAATGGTGCTGTACTTGTCTGGGAGGATAAGAAACACTGATCAACAGACTCCGAAAGTATAGGAGAAGATATGCATCAAATTACGTCGTCAGTACAGGGAATGGAGTCCAATTGATGACTCATCCTCCAGGGATTGATCAACACCCACAGCTTTATCCTATCCTGACGTTCGTATTCATGACTATCAGTGCACTACTGCATTTATTTCTTGTAGTTGATATTCATGGAGGTCAGGTTTAAAACCTCTTCGAAGTCTTTCTTTTTGCTTTTTTACTTCCATCGAAATTATTGTAGGATTTTTTTGGTGACGATGTGCAGCCGGTCGGTGATAAGGTTCGGTATGTTGAATATAGCAGAAAAAGAGCCGAATCCATCAAGAAAAGGTTGGGTTTTCCATTTGTGTTTCTACATAAGCCTTTCATTTCATTTTTTTTCTACAATGCTTTACCACTATTTGCTCGTGTTAAATTAGATTTTGGCTTTATTGGAAGAGTAAGTGGTATATTTTTAATTAACACATTTGCGACGCGTGGCATTTAACGCCTATGTTATCTGGAGTGAAGCCTTATTTTTAACCATTACTGGCGTCCTTGTTATCTAAAAATAGTACTTTTTCCGTAACTAGACAACTTGGGTGGTAAACATGACAGAATTTTAGGAAGGAACTGGACTGTGGAAGGGGCAGGCATCGCTGTATGGGTATGAATTTTGTCTTATAGTAACATATGTGTTACTTTTGTCTGCCATCCAACTTTATTGCCGTCAGTATTTAGAAGTATTTCCCAACTTATGCTTTGTCTACTTCGGAATTTTATACACCCACACGTTCCATATAACAACTGTGATCCATTATAACAATTGGGATTGAAATAACCATCAGTTGGTTGTCAAATTACCAGTTAGTGAACTTTTTGAAGAAAAAGTCCCTTAGAAAAACATGGCTGAAAGAAAGACAAACCAAGGCCATCGACTGGTATGGTGCATAGAACGTTAGCTTCCGGAAAGGGTAATCGCGGGCTCGATGCGTATTTGAGGTTCCTGGTTCCTAGTCATGCTCATATCTCACGATCCTTGTGGTTGTGTTTCACAAAATACTCTGCCATGAAGAAATAATAGGCATCATGTAATAGTTTAGATGGTTTTTACATATTTCTAAGTGTAGGATAGAGCTTTTCTGGACAAACGCGCGCCGCAACATCTCTATAGAATAAACTTTCGATTGATTACAAGAAGTTTAAGAAAAGAAGGTTTTGTACTCTAGAGTGAACCGTTAGAAAGAAAAGCCCCCTACGAAGCTTGTATTGGCCATCCCACGCCCCGCGTATGATTAAGTGGAATACACGCTATCAGTTAAGTGTTAAATTGTAAGTTTCACTATCTACTTTTTTCAGAAATGAGTTGAATTCGCTGTGGTGTTGGATGAAGTATCGAATCGTGTTAGCGCGACACTTTAGAGGAAAGACTTTGTTTTTTCCGCACAATATGGACTTTCGTGGACGAGTTTATCCGATATCACCATATCTGAGTCATATGGGTGACGATGTCAACCGCTGTATACTGAAATTTGCCAAAGGTGTGTGCTTTGGGTGTATGCAGTAGATGTAGCTATCAACTCAGTACTTTGGATTTACGATGACAAAAGTCTTAGATGTTTATATATTACTTATTCCTTCCTCCCAACGGTTTACCGCCTCATCATGGCTGGGAGGTGTTCCTGGGTGTCGGGCTGCGACGTACAGCGGTGGATTCATCCCCCTAGCATGGTCTCCTAACTTGAGGAGCGCAACGTTTCCGTCAGGAATTCCAGCTAAGAGTGAACCAATACCAGGATCCACCACCATCCTGGTATCAAACTAGTCGGATGACGCCAAATCTCTCTCTGATCCACAAGGGCAGCGACTGCCTGTGATGGTGACGACCTAGTGCAGGCTTTGAGCAGGCTAATCTCGGGACTCCACGGAAACACATTGGCCAAACCAGCAAACGCCGAAAAATATAGAATAGAGAGGGCCCGCACAACAAGTGTGGACGGGCCGTCCAAATATCCAAGTAAGTGTGTACCTATTTTCAGGCCGAACTCTTGGTGATCGAGGTTTCGATTGGCTGAAATTGCATTGCATAAATTTAACCGGTACAATGAAAAGAGACAGCATAGCGGACCGTCTAACTGCTGCAGATCAGCTACTGGACGATATGATAGATTCAGCGAATCATCCTCTTGATGGTTTGTTTGCACATTATGTTGCCAAATTTGTTAACTTGGCCGGCCATTGGGCTCTGTTCAAAAAATAAATGCTTGTTTTTCAACAATTGGCTTCCTGTTTCATACTTCATTTCTATTTCATTGCATAGGTAAAGGATGGTGGTTGGAATCTGAAGAGCCATGGCAGACTTTAGCTGCATGCATGGAACTGCGGGATGCACTAGCCTTTCCAGGCAAGATTGAGGATTTTATAAGGTACCATTTACACTGTTGAGACTTATGACCATTGTTTTTCTGTATTTTTGCAAACTTTGTGGTAACCTTTTGCAACGTAACCGTGTATTTCTAGTCACTTGGCTGTGCATCAGGACGGAAGCTGCAATGGACTCCAACATTATGCTGCATTAGGTCGAGACGAAGAGGGAGGACGTGAAGTAAACCTTCTAAATAGTTCAACACCTAACGATGTGTATACATCAGTCGCGATGAGGTTTCATTTTTCGGTAGTGCTTTAGACCACATTATAGAATAGTTGAACATGTGCGATGATTAGTTTAAAATGCCAGGTTTCGGATATTTATATGTGGAAGTACTTAGGAGATATCTTGTTCAGGGTAGAGCAGAAAAGACTAGAAGATGAGAAGGGTGGTCCAAATATGGAAATTGCTTTAAGGTTAAGGGAATTCATGCCACAGGCGGTCCCACGAAAGGTAGTTGTTTTTTTCAGCATTCATCTTGTGTTCATTAAAGTAAGTATTCAAATATTTCAATTTAGGTTATAAAACAAACGGTAATGACGACCGTTTATGGAGTGACATTGTACGGCGCGACCTTGCAAATAAAACGGCAACTCAAAGCTCTCGACATCGATAATGATGAGGTGGCTATCGACTAATAATTTCTTCTGTGTTTGTTTTTTGACCAATAATTTCTTCCAGACTTCCAAATTTGCACGTTACCTGACACATTTAACGTTCGCCAGTTTGCACGATGCATTCACTTGTTCAATGTACGTCGATATCCTATTTTTTTTTTTTACATCTTCACGATAGTGAGATATCTTCATGCTATTTGCCCACCGCAAGACTGACTTCGGGGCTGCAGGGAATTACAGTGGCTAAAAAACCAGCGAAATACCGAAAAAAGTGGAAACTGCACTGGGGCCCGCACAACCAGTGAAGACCGGCCATCCTTGTATCCAAGTAATTGGCCACCATTCTTGTTTCAGGAAACTGAAAGATTGGTTCAGAGATTGTGCAAAGGGTGTATCCGATCTGCTACAGACAATGGAATGGATAACACCTTTAGGACTTCCCGTTGTTCAACCGTACATTAGTGTAAAGGAGAAAAAAGGGCGCGTCATATATGCACCTGTTTCTACAAAGCAGGTTTGTGTTCATATAGATTACCCATATGATTTCTTATACATTCTTGGGCATTTAGAACCAATTTCGTGAAACTCTACTCGTTCAGGTTGGAGCATTTCCACCAAACTTTGTACACTCACTTGATTCAAGTCACATGATGTTGACTTCACTCGATTGCTCTCGAAGGTACTTTCTTTTCTGTTTTTTTCTCACTTGTTGGGAAATGTGTGTTTTACCACTTGTCCGTTTTTATTTCTACTATTCTATATTGTTTACTTTATTATTTTCTATAACTCCATATCTGTCATTTCTGTGATCCTATGTTTTTTATTAACTTCTGCTTACCTAACTGTTGGTAGAAATGCTGATTGTGATAGAATGGTTCTCCCACTCAAGCGACGTTAGTAGTATTAGTCGTTGGACTCAAAAATATCAATTTGTCTTCAGTAATGCTTTTATATCTATGCTGGGCGCGTGCAGCACAGTGATAGGAGACACGCTACAATACACATGGGATCGATCCCCCACACTCAAGGTTCACCAAGCCTTCAAACCTTCCCACCTCGAACTGGTGCCGGACTTGTCTGGGAGGATAGCAGCACTGGCTCGATACATCCGCAGGCCACTGTGAGTCATTGTAAAGGCCAGATATGCATTCAGTCACCTCCAACAATGCTTAATGAAGCCGAATACATGGAACATCCCTCAGGAATTGATCAACGCACGCTAAGAGCTTTATCCTTTTTTGGTTCCTTATCTACATTCTATTCTTTCACGCATTTGTACCAATTTAAGGGGGATCACTTTTGCGGCTGTTCATGATTGCTTCTGGACTCATGCTACCACTGTAGACGACATGAGTCTTCTCTGCCGAGAGCAGTTTATAAAATTACACAGCGAACCAATCGTACAACAGTGAGTTATCATTGAAATTTATCCCGTGATTTGTTAGGGTTTTTTTCTGGCAATATGATCTTTTTTAGATGTTCTGATTGGCTTTACTCCCATTATCTTACCGGTGCTCACATAGACCTTATGCCACCTAAGGATCTTGCCCACTTCAGGAAATTGTTTACGCTGCAGGTGAAACCTGGCGGTCTCAATATTAAAGATGTGAAGGATTCGATATATTTCTTTAGCTAACAACTTTCATTGGATTCCCTAGTAAAAGGTGTTTCTAACCCATGATGGACAATGCCAAATTGTTGGACACATGTACTACAATTATATTTGATTTGTATCACTCATTCTGTCTCTCGAAAATGAGCTTAAAATATCCTGCATATTCTGGCTATCTTGGCCGCGAAGATATCTTTGTATCCTCCTTTGCTGTAGTGTTGCGGGACGAGCGAGCTCATGAGGAAATTTCTTCCAAATTATTAAGTATAAAGTATAGCCTTTTCGGATAACTCGAGATACAACACAGTGGACAAGCTATAGCTTGAATATGGGAAATTTAGCAAAAACTTTGTACAGAAATGTGAACAGTCGAGGCGGTATAGATCATTTTCGATTTATATCGTCCACCCACATCCCACTTACGAGTTATGTACGATTTGTAACGCCATGAATGTGTTGAAATTATAGTTTGCTCTTAAAGTGACGAGAAGATAAATGATGGCTCCTGGAATACCTAAACAATATTTGAGTACTTGGATGGCCCGTCTTTACTTTTTGTGCGGGCCCCAGCATAATCTCCACTTTTTTTGGAGATTTGCTGCATTATCTATTGTTGTTCCCTGGAGTCCCTAGGTCATCCCTTCCTTCCTCAGGTCGTCATCACTCTAGGCAGTCGCGGCCCTTGTGGATCTGAAGGAGATTTACCATCATGCGAATAGTTTGGTATCAGGGCAATGGTGGATCCTGGTATTTGTTTACTCTCAGCTGGGGTTTCTAATGGAAACGCCGGACTCCTTCTTAGTTTGGGAGACCGTTCTGGGGATGAATCCCCCGCTGTACATCGCATCCTGACACACAGGAACACCTCTCAGCCACGATACGGCGCTAAATCGTTGGGGGTTACCTAAACCATATGAACAACAATGATGCAAATATCTTAGCAGTTTATATCAAACGAAATAGTTTTGTCTAACTTTTATTCTCACAGTTTCATTCTTCATTTCTTTTATTTTTGGTGTATCCTAGTCATGAGCAAACCCTGTTCACTGCATGATATCCTAGTGTCGAGATGATGTTGAGTGCGTCATGCTTATTCGTGATGTCTAAAATTAAACCTCATGTGTCTTATAGGGGTCTATGTTGTTGTTGTTGTTTTATTGTTATTTGATAGGTCTTGTTATCTACTATCTCGTTCATTATACACGTTGTTATCTTGTTGTTGTAAATTGTCTGTCTTCTCGAATTGCTATGTTGTTGCTCGAAATGGGCGGTATAATTGCTTTCAATAATCATTTTTTTAAATGCATGGTTGGCGATAACATACAGGGCAGTAACATGGCTGAGAGAATGGCGAAACTAAGGTCTTGCATGGTCTAGTTAGCGGTGAACCCGTTAGCGCTCGGAAAGTTTAACAGCTTGTTCGGTCCCCACCGCAAGCATCAGCGGTTCGGAGTTTTGCAAATATCTCAGTGTTATTATGGTTATATTTCACATACTATCTTGTGGCAAAAAAGAGTAGGCAATAAATAAGGAGTGACAACAGTAATTCTTCTATTTCTATGGTCTGCAATGGTTTTCACGGCATACTGTACTGATTAGCGATGATTTCTACAGCATCTGGAACCAAATTTGAAATGCAGGGCAGGTTGAACGGAATCTTATTTTTGTTAGGTTGGTCGTTTTCAACATGAATTTCCAATCCAGCCCAAATAGCCAATGTTTAATAGGTGTTAACGATGAGTGTTTGCGCTCTCAGTGTAGACGATTCTTTTCGTTCAACTAATCCTATGCACATATTGGTAACCGTTTGAAGCATATTCTTCACAATCGCTCTCTTTATGTGTGAAGGATAGAAAAAATGTGATCGGCTAAAAGGCTCTAAAAGCTCTCGGCGTTGATTAATCCCTGAGGGATGCGCCATGTATACGACTTCATTAAGTATCGGAGGTGATTGAATGCATATCTGGCATTTACAATGACTCGCGGTGGCCTACCGATGTATCGAACCAGTGCTGCTATCCTCTTAGGTAAGTCTGGTACCAATTTGCTGAGCTCGGAGGGATGGAGGGCTTGGTGGGCCATGCGCGCGGAGATCGATTCCACGTGTGTGTCGCAGTGGTGCCTCCAACCACTGCGCCACACGCTCCCGATTGACTAGTACGGTCCTATGATTTGGATATTCTTCGCATTTTGTAACGCTACTGTATATAGAAAGGACTCGTTGATGGTTCATAAGTGAAGGCAGTGGCTGCTTTCGGCTATTCCCAGATGAACTTTACACAGTTTTACTGTTCATGAAATGTTATCCATTTGTTCTTATTCAGTAAAAATGGCAAAGAGAAAAACAATCGGCGTGCTGTAAGGCAGTGTAATGATCCAATACTTAGAGTTTTTATCTTAGAAATGAAAGTGATGGCCTTGGAACTGTCCAGTCTCGAACCCATTACGAACTGTGCTCTCTGGACCATCTAAAGATTAAAGCACCACTCAAGAGAGCCATGAGAGGCAGTATAGACAAGACGTGAAGGTTTATTGCTCCTTCTTGTGACATGGGCAGTTCACCTTTACACTGTTTGGGCACTTTCTGCATAGGTCATCTAAGGAAAGTGTTCGATAAATCGATTGGGAGGTAATGTAATGTAATATTAGATTTAGAAACTGTATTACTCTACTGGTTGATTGATTGGTGTAAGATTTCCTGTAGTTCTAAACACCGAAAAATGCGTCACTGGATAAATGGCTCATAGTTACCCTTGGTCTTTGGTCTTAACAAAGCTACTTACCACATGACTGAAATCTTCAATAAATTTGGAGCTATTTGCCTGATTAGTCTTCATGTTTAAAATGATTTAGTGGCTGCTCCGAAGAAAGCTAAGGCCTTTGAGAGGCAGCCATTATGGGGGAGGGTATTGCTGTGGTGGTGATACCGTTCAGCACAAGCATACAGTGCTGTTTGGATCATCCTGGACTCAGCCATGCTACCATCTTTCGAGAACCAGGCTCAAAACTTGTCCGGTAAACAGTCTGGTACGTCTAATTCATGTGGGAACGCCCTAGCGCAGCCTTAAGGCACCTTGGAGGATCAACTCAACAAGTATTCAGTGACATTCATACTGAGACGGAAATCCTCGCTCAGTAGCTGAACACAGAAGCAAAAAGTTTGAAGACCTTCGTGGACGTCGACGCTGGGAAACGAATAGAGTGCAAGTGCTAGAACCTGCACCTTATGACCACTTGACGGAGCATCACGTAATAATAAAAATAATTAACATTCATAAACCATACCTCATGCTATAACAATTCCATAATCACGATCAGACCACATAACGAAATTTTGGAAACCGTCAAATCCACCTTTCCTCCCGTATTTGGTTCGTTCCTTACAAAAATGGCGCGAAGTTTAGGAAGATTGCCTGAGATTATTTTGGCTCCTTCCCTCACAACCATAGCAGCAACTACTTTATTAGTAGTCGCAATAGCAGGGAAAGTATTCCTAGCCCTTGCTAAAAGATAAACTTCTTTCATAAAAAGCGTCAACGAAGAAGCGATAATGATGCTGAGATATTTGCAAAACTTGGACCTCTGGCGAGATCGAACTGTGGTTAACCTTTCCAGGGGCTCGCGTGTTACGCACCACCACGGTGCCATCAGCAATCATCCGTCAGCAGGAATATGCCGGGAAGCACAAATCGGCGTTAAACCCAGTTGAGGGGGTGGTTGCTGATACCATTAGGGTAAAAAGACGCTGAGAGTAGCAAAAGGAGAGCCTCAATGGTTCTTGCGTAACACATGAGCTCCCGAAAAGATAATTGCGGTTCTATCTGGCGCGGAGTCCAAGTTTTGCAAATATCTCAGCGTTGTATTGGTTGTACTTAACGTAATACCCTGCCGTGAAAACAATGACAGCCATTAGATAAAAAAGTTGTACACTGAAGAAACCGTAGATGTAAGGAATCAATCCAGGCAAGAATAAAAGAAGTAGGTCGATATTTAACTTTCCACCCGATTTCACATACACTCAAGAGTGAGAAGCGGCGCTTTTGCATTATGTGACACTAGAACCTTCTGCCATATAGAACTAATAAGAGTAGGCTCTAGAAAATGGCAAGTTGTTGTACGCTAACCACTCCGTCACCACACTACGGCAGCATTCGCGGGTGAAATAAAAGTAGAATTGAAGCATGGCACTTCGAAATTTATGCCGATCCAGTATAGTGGGCTAAATCGTCGACATTCCTAACAGAATAAAGAACACGAAGCCAAAGAATTCAATCTCATATGTTCAGCAAACGAAAACTGCTTAAAGTGCTCAGTTCATAACGAGCCAGAGGTTTCCTGAGGATGTGGGAGTGGTATTATAATTTAGATCTTTTGGTTTTGATTCGAGATGTTTTTTAATTTAGTCTTTGTTGTTTCAAGAAGGATCCACGTCAGCGCAAGCATAAGAAACTGTTAGAAGCAGCACAAAATGAATCAGTCCGAGGAAATCTTTCGGGACTTGTACGAGTGTAATGTTCCGCTGTCAGTCGTGATAAACAAGGATAGGATCACTACAACTTCCCACCATGATGTGGGAAAGAGCCACCAATCTTTTTCATTCCACAATCCTAAAATTTCCGCTGGAGGAAAACCACCTGGAAGTTGTTCCTCTGAGGTTCCAGTTCCCGACAGGGCACAAAAAAGACATCGTTCCAAGACCTGATGATATCACTGTCGACTTTCTTAGAGCTGGAAAGCAAAAAAACTTGCACCAGTGGAGGACGTCGCACACGACCGTCATACCTATAAAGGTGGATAAAAAGAATCTACATAATTATCGTTCTTGTTGAATGTACTCTAGAAGCTGATCACAAAGACTTTCCTGTCGTTTATATCAAGGACTTTCCTTGAAGCCCAACAAATGAGCAACGAGAATACCGACAGGAATTTTGCTGCATGTATCACAACCAAGCCGTGGCCAGTGTCATCGAGATTTGTCGGAAATACCACCTTTTCTTACTCCTGATTTTTGTCGAAATTAAAAAGCGTTTGATAGTGTGGAAACGGATGCAGTCCAACAGCACTCGCCGATCGAGGAGTGACCTGTCCTACAAAAGAACTCTATCTGACTATTACGGGAACTGCACCACGAAAATATAGCTTTTCGGTCAACTCCTTATCATACCTATAGGAAAAATGGTTCAACAAGGCGACACCGTTTCGCCAATGCTGTCTAGTGCCGCATTGAAGTGGATAATGAAGTCCCTCGATTGGGATGAGAAAGATGTACGTATTGGTGGAAAATTCCTATCATATCCTATCTGTTTCGCCGACGATATTGCCGTTTTTACAAGAGACACCAACGAAGCAGAAAACAACAAGCTCAGTGAAGTGGAAAATAAAGCGGACCACGTATAAATCGGAAGAAAAACTCCGTTCATGGAAAATCTATTGTACGAAAGTGGATAGATCAAATCGGATGGTTCCCAAATTATAGCACCTAGCACGTGTATCTTGGGCGTTCAATGAACATAAAGAAATAAAAGAGGAATTAGACAGGAAGGACAGCACCACATTCGGACCTGTCAAAAAGCCAACTACCATCTAACGATTAGTAACTCCGCACAAACTTTCTCAACTCCAAGCGCTCTGTTATGCGACAGAGACGTTGGCTGTACTTCAACTACGTCAAGAGTACTGTACACCACTCACGGAGTGCCCACCAAACGATGCCTTTTGATATATAAGCGGCATATAACATCTGGTCGGAATGCGAAGCTCAGATCTTTGAAATGCTTCACATCTTCGAGACCCAAAACACTACACGTTGTTAGCGAGGCAGATGGGCCGTCCATGTAATAAGAACAGCTGGCAAGTGGACGTGAAATGGACGGAAACAAGTGTAAATTGAGCTCAGTGAGCATGCAAAGGCCCCTTGGGAATATTACCTAGACAATGTGCGAACAAATTCGTAACTAAAATCAATCAGCTGTTTTCGCGGCTGCAGATGTTTGAACAGATCACGAAGGTGTAATACGCTCTACGAAGCCCAAGGCAAACCACCGCCACGAACGACGATTGCGAGGCAACGAAACGAATGAAGATTATGCGAGGCATCCAAGTGTTTCCAAACTATTTCTTTTGGTGAGTTGAGCACCATGCCTCCCACAATAAGCGTCAAACATGCTTTTGTACCACTCAAGTAAGCAGAACCCATCGGAGAGCTCTGAAATGCGATGCGAGTCGAGGTTTGAGCCCGTTCGAATCACTCGACCATTACGGCGATGTCAGATTCTCATGGTCCATATCATTGTGTCGCTGTAAAGTCAGCCAATTCAGATCAGAATTCATGTATGTACCTAGGTGACCTAGACTTCCAATTAACTACTTGTGCTACCGTAAGGTACTTAAGACAAAGGGTCAGCGACCACATTGCGTATCAGAAACCTGGACTATTACTTAACTTTATTGAATGATTTAGTCACAGAGTCTTAAAAATGACATTGTTTAACATGTGTTTAACTTCATATTTCTTCTTATTTTTGTGAGTTTCCGCATTTCTTGGCCTCACTTTTCTGTCTACTATCGAATTCACTTGAATTTCGAACATTTTTGTTTCCTCGTGCTATCTCATCGTCTATTCCACTGCTTGATTCTTTTCCTTTATCCGAGCCACTCGTCTGCACTTCTTTCTTGACTGGGTTCGCTTTCATGGATTTACTTTCCTTTCTGGTGTTTTTACGTGCTGAACGCTCCTTGTACTGCTGCATGGATTTCTCTCTCAAACCTCTCTTCGATTTCTGTGACATACGACTACCCTGCGTTATATTTTCGAATACTTCAGGGTCTAGAATTTCGGATCGCCTTACATCGGCATCGTTTGCCTTCTTTCCGTTTTCTGTGAGTAGGTTCTTATTGTCACACTTAAAAGCGCCATCGAGCTTCATATCGAGTTCGACATCCACTTCCTTATTTTCTTTCTCAGGGACACGTACCTATAAATAAAAATCTGAAATTAGTGTAGTGGAAAAGAATCATCTAAGGGTTTGCGATAAAGATTTCTGTGTTTAATGCTTTGAAGTGATTAAAATCACCCATGTAGTGAGTGAACAGCTGTTTTCGAATTTGCTTGAATTGGATCTGTTTAAACGCTTAATGGTGGAAGATATCTGCCGATCCGTAGTATTCGATAAAGAAACGAGAAAAAACAAGGCAGAGAACTTTAGCATGAACGCTAAGAAATTAATTAAGTTGCCGAGATTCGGTAAGAGTGAGTACGTCGGCGTTATGGCAAGCATCAACGTTGAGGTTCATCCATCAGCAGATTTAATCACCACATTGACAATGATGCTGAGATAATGTCGTCAGTTTTATTTACTGCCTACCAATTTTTAATGGCAGGATATATGTGAAATGATAACCAAAATTCAGTGAACAAAATTGACATTGTGATTTGTAGCATAGCTTCAGCTTAACTGGGTTCATACCGATTTGTGTTTCCCAGATCAATCCCGTTGACGTGTGGTTGCTGATAGTGCCTATAGGTCATAACGGCTGAGAGACAAGCGAAACGAAGGACACGCACGGTGTGGTAGTGAACGAGTTAGCCCCCGGAAAGGGTACTAGCGTGTGTTCGGTTTCCAGCGCAGACACCTTCGCTCTGGAGTTTCGCGAATATCTCAGCAACATTATGATGTAACATTATGAGTGTGTGTGCGGTGGGGATCGAACACGCTAGTACTCTTTCCAGGAGATAACGCGTTCACCACGACACCATGCTAGTATTTCGTTTTGCCTTTCTCTAAGCTGTGTTTTATAGGCGCTATCAGTAATCACACGTCAGCGGGATCACACTAACTTTATCACATAGTTACCAGTGGCGGGAATTAATGATATGATGAAAAATTTGTGGTGCTGGTCTGTTTTAGTGAGATACGCTAACTCCTTTGTGTTCGAAATAATAAAGCTCTGAAGCAGCGAATACCGACGAGTCCTGATGTGCATGATTGGATAAGGCAAGGGAAAAGTGGATTTTCTTCTACAGATGATCTATTACTACTACTCTGGTGACTCCGGATTAATTTCTGGTCTTGAATGGATCGTTCACAGCTTTGACGGGTTAGTTACCTCTTATATGTGTTGAACAACAGTGAAGCGATCAAAAGATCTTTTATAGTTTTGTTCGTATTTTTTGAGCAAACGCGAGGTGTTATTGTTCTTTGTTCACGATTAAGCTGACGTTTCGACGAATTTCGCCTTCTTCAGAGCCGCTTTCTATGAGGTCTCCACTAAGTATGTCACGTAGAGACCAACCGCACAGAAATCACGTGGAAGTATAATGTCTTTTAGAGATAGTGATGAGTATAATGTCTATCTTTTATAGTATTAGCAGTGAACAGCCACATTTACCACCATTCACCGAATAATGAGTGGTCTAGTATCCAAGTATCGATATTCAAACGAACGATATTCATCGATACGACGGTACATTTATAACTACCGCCCACTGGTATGTTTGAGATCATCGTCACATCAGCATGCTGCAGGGTCTTGCAGATAGAGAAAAGGAATTGAAGGAATACAGTTAGTCAAGTCATTCACCATTAACGCTATGTTTTATTCTGAGCGAAAGAAAAAACAAACCGGTGGTGGGAGGATTTTTGGAAAATCTTTGTCCCAAGCGGGTCTTTCGTACTTCTGTTCCAATTTTGTGTCCTCAATATAACTTGATGTTGAGGCGATAGCTGACTTTCTCCGTTTCCACCGAGCACACTTTCCAAAACTCCACATGTAAATTGTTAACGTCATCATTGTCTGAAACGAAATATTACTTCGACTTTATAGGAGCTTTCTCCAACACGGACATTGCTTCTTATTTGTAGAACTCTAGAATTGAATGGGAGAGTGCTCGAGTTTAATGTAATGGAAACAATAACATTTTTCACCTTCAAAATGATATAACCCAACGTACTCATCTTAAGCCACCGTTCGACGGGACATATAGACCATGAATTGAATACATTACCGTGTAGAGAATGGATGATAATTTCCTATCCATATTTGTAGTAAACTCATTCTCTTTCATGAGTTGTCTCCACTCGGTTAGCCGTAGGGTTTGATGGCACTTTCCGAAGGGAAAGATGGAGGATAAATGTTGGTCGAAACCTACTTTGTATTCACCTGGAAACGTAGATGGCATGAGGCGACGTAGTACCTCTATCTAGTTGTTCGATTGACATGTACTTTAGGTATTTAAAAAGGTAAAGGGTGAAGCTCTCGGCGTTGATAAATCCCTGAGGGATGCGCCATGCATACGACTTTATTAAGCATCGTTGAAGATGACTGAATGCATATCTGGCTTTTACAACCACTTGCGATGGCCTACAGATGCATCGAGCCAGTGCTGCTATCCTCCCAGACAAGTCTGGTAGCAACTTGCCGATCACACAAAGATGGAGGTTTTGGAGGACCTGGCGAGCGGGGATCAACCCCATGTGTATTGAAGGGCGTCTCCGACCACTGAGCTACAATGTATAGTTTTCAAAACAAACTTTCGTAATCAACACCTCATATACAGGGATATCAACAGTATCTGATCGAAGCGGTACTGCAAGTGTGCTAAGAAGCTCTGCCTTGGAAACATCGGAAGACATTTCAAACACCTGAAAAATAACATACTTATCAGTATCAGAAAAAAAAGCTGATTACCATTCAAATTTACTATTATGATTAAGCCACCTTGTTTCTAACAAGCTGATACGATGCTCCTTTAATAGTTGAACACTTCGACGATATTTGTCTTTTTTTTAAACCATGAAACAGGGCATATTAACAATTCTTTTACTGCGTAACTTTGTTTGCGGCACCATTTATATTGAATCGGTAGCCTCCATAACAAAGACGCTGTACCATACATCACTGGGAAAACTTACTTCTACACATCTAAATTCACAATGAACACACATTGGAAAAGATATGCCCATGTCCACGAAATTAACGACCACTCCACGTCTTTTGCAGCAAATGAGCATCGACGCCACTGTAGATGAGCAAAATAACAAGATTTCTCTGCAGAACGGATAACGAACATATGAATCTTGCTGCATATTCTCCTTCTATAAGGCCATACTAGTGTCTATACACAAGCAGTGGAGAAACCACTGCAAGAAGAAAAAGGATTCTACAAGCTCTCATTCATGTGTTCGACTCACGATTTTAGCGTTAGTTTTTAATAACTGCTCCGAGAAAGTCAACTGATGGGATCTCCTGCCGAACAATTTGAAGAAGATGAATCGGAGGACCAGGTCGAGAATGTGCTCAGACAGAGCAGGCCTTACGAACTCCAATTTTCGATAGAAATCAATTTTTAGTACATCAATTGCTCTCGGATGGATGGACAGAACTATCACATTTTTATAAGCTATTATGACTGACATTTAAGACACCCCTATGCGCGTCTCAGAGAATAGTAAACAAGAGTACGAGTCATGAAAAAATACTGTCGGACATATGAATGGATTCACTGGTCTCCATCGCCAAAACCTAATTATTAAACAATCAAACATGAGTGATTACTAAAACACCTGTTCCTTATTTTGTTCTATTCTGTTCTATTTTGGCATGTTATCCTCATGCTTATAAAGTGACGACAATCACAGATTCGAAGTGCTGCTGGCCTACCTCTCTTTGGTCGACAATGCAACGCATAAGGGCCATGTAAAATCAAGAAAAACACCTATTCACGGATATTTAGTTTCCATTTGATTATCTTTTACAGGACCCGATGACAAATGCTGTGCGGAATCCAGTAGTTCTTCCTGTATTCGATGTGTTTCCTCGCGTTCATCATTAACCAAAGTCTTCGGATTTGTATGTGGGTTCGGTTGCTGCTTGATGACCTTCTCCTTTTCTTCTGAATGTCGTTGAATGCTGATAGAATGGATTCTCCCTGGTATCGCGGGATAGCAACACAACGGAGTTCCATATCTCAATCACTCTCAGTTTTTTACGGGGACTGGATGAAACTAGCTGATCGTTGATAAGTATAGTAGCAACCATTTGACTTCTGAGTGAAGAGGACCCGGTGGGCCAACAGCGTGGTCGGGCCAGCGCCTTGCTAGTAATGAACGACATCACTACCGCCAGTCTCCTGTGCATCTACTTATTTTACTCATTTATTACATGAACTGATACCACATGTATCACAATGTGGGAAGTACAGAATTTCATGTATTTGACTCTCTTCCTTGCGTCCACCACTCGTGATGTTTTTCGATACCTCCTAGCGTGTGGGTTCGACTTCTGTGTGACAATTTTTTGTCTTCACGAATGTCCTTGAATGCTGGTCGAGTAGGTTCACCTCTGAGTCCTGATATTGAGATTATATGTCGTTCCAACGTGGATTGTAGAGATTGAGCTTGTCCCGAACAAGTCTGGTACCAATTTCCTTACGTCGAAGGAGGCATCAGTGCCCTGGTAAGTCCGATGCAAGGTCGAACCAAGTGCTGGGTAGGTTGGCTATCTGAGAAAGGAATAATTTCATTACCACTACACTACTCGCTCCCTCATCGTCTACAATTGGCATTGTAGTGTCTCTTTAACTGTGCGACTACTTAAGAGGAAAACCCATCTGATTTGAATACACTGGAAAAACACAGGACTTTCAGAGTGCGCGAACCAGAAGAAACTGAACTAAAGGAAATTGAAGGCGCAACTGAATAAGAGTGGTGTAATCGAGCTGAATCAGGAAGACAAATGTGATATTAACATGATGTCCAGAACAGATGCTCAGCTCTTCTCCTAGCCATCAAAAGTGCAGAATATGCGGACGATTTCGATCAGTTCAAGATTCACACGTATTTCGATTTGATCCACGCATTCATCTTTAGTTGTCAATGTATTGGAAGAAGCTCCATGATTAAAAAAAAATGAAAACGTTATGCTCTTTCTTGCAGGATATTGGCAAAATAGTACTACTTCAAAGCTGTTGTGAATGGTGCCAGGCAGATCAGCATAAGATGATCCCAATACAATACATAGAAAACATTATTCTTTAGTATGTCCCCGTAATATCACAAAAGTGTCAACTGTAAAAGTTGAGTGCCGAAAGAACTAAATTTCGCGAAAAGATTTCAAATTTCAAGTCTTCTAATGGCTTAATGTGCATGTAAATTATTGCTTCAAAAACTGCATATTGAGTCGTAGGCTGTGTTGATCATAAATAGTACTATAGTCATAGTAATAGTATAATAGTAATAGTCCTCCTACCGCTTTACCACCTTATCACGGCTGGGAGGTGTTCCTGGGTGTCAAACAGCGATGTATAGCGAGGGATTCATAACTCTAGCATGGTCTCCCAAGCTGGGGAACTAGGAGGTGTTTCCATCAGGAATCCCAGCTAAGAGTGAACAAATACCACGAATCACTACCGCCTGGGTATCAAAATAGTCGCATGGTGGCAAATCTCTCTCTGACCCACAATGACTGCGACTGCATGTGGTGGTGACGACCTGGGGAAAGACTGCCTGGGCTGACCTCGGGACTCCAGGGAACCACAGTGGCCAGACCAGCGAAACTCCGAAAAAATGGAAATTTCGCTGGACGCCACACAACCAGTGTGGATGGGCCATCCAAGTATCCAAGTAAGTATACAGTAATAGTAGGACGCAGCCCTTCTTTATACTACAAAACGTCTAAAGAGGCCTCACCGGCAATTTAACATCTTATCGGGGCGATAAAACGTTCCCGATACATGTGTCACAGCAAACATAACACAAGTGTTCTAACAAACAGTTCGTCAGCGCATTAACCTTCCGACCAATGCCGATATTAATTGAAAGCCGATGCTGTGTATTGCCGTTGACACGAAGAGTTTTAGAAAAAGAGCAGAAATATTTTAAAAGAAAGGATCTGAGACTACAAGTCATGAATTTGTTAAGCAAGCTAGCAAAGGACATTTATCATCAATTTCAGAAGTACCTGGCAGAGAACATCCAACATTGGTTCATTGATCTTCCATGGTGTCGACCCTAACTGATTAAGTGCATCGAGGACTGGACGTGCTTGCACTCTGAATAAATAACAATAATAACATGATACACAGTAATGACACATTGACTTGCATTCATGTACATCGATACTCTTTGGGATTAAGATCTTTGGATCTGAGGGATCGGATTCAACGAAATTTACACAGCCTTTATGCCGAGGACTGTTCTCACCAAGATCCACTCAAGACAAAAAAAGATAAAAAACCAGGGACAGCCACTACCGAGTGACTCGTGTACAAACGGAAATTCATCTCTATAATATCACAAAATTTGGAGTGTAGTGAATG